TAGCGGGGCACTGAACGGGGACGTGACGCGTTTTTAACGTGCTTTTAACAGCAAAATTGCCCCTGGGGATCGGGATTTTGATGAATTGTTTTCGAAGCGGGGAAAAGAGCGGGGATTTTAACGCTCTTTTAAACATGTAGAGTCTGGAAACTAGACGTCGGCCATCTTGAGAAATACCCTGAAGGCATTGGTATTCATCCCCACTTTTTTACTTTTAATTTTCCTTGCATAATTTTTTTTTTAAAGAAACTTATTACACGTTTTTCTCTGTCCAGTAAACCTCATTTAGTACGCAAATGAGTACACAGGATTATACAAAAATTAACTCTGTGTATCACAGAAAATTTGGTTGAATGTGTTTGTTTTGTTATTTATTTACTAGTAGACCAAAATAGCGAGCCAACAGTAGCGGGGATTTTAACAATGAATGTGTCCCGACTACCGGGGGAAATGTCTTATTTTAACACCACTCAAACGTTAAATTCCCTAGTGTATTTCTAAACTAAAAAAAAACAGAACTGATATAACCCCCCAAAATAGCCAAAATATCGATGTTGAAAATGGCCTAATTTGAAGAGATTTCAACGGCTTTCGGCCGATAATCGCCATAGGAGGCCTGGAGCCGACTATTCTCGATAGTCTGGTAAGCCTGTGCCAGAAGACGATTGGCTGTTAGAACAAAGTGACTTGTGAAAAGCCATTTTGACCATGGCTGGCACATTAACCAGAATGAGTTTGTTTATAAAGATTACAGATAAACGAAACCAGATTTTCTCTCTAGTTGTGAAAATGCAATATCTTGAGCCATGAAAAGATATCATATCTTTAATATGTGAAGATATCACTGTTTGCATGGTGACATAGCCGCTTGTAAATACTAATTTTATCTTCGAGTATTCAATTGATATCTTGCACTCGTTCGCTACGCTCATGCTCGTGAGATATCGATTGAACACTCGAAGATAAAGTATTTCTAAGCAGCTATATCCTGCCATTCACATTTGAATGAACCGAGCGAAAATTTTAATTTTGACTATTTCTTCAAAATGCACAAAACGTTTCAACCAAAACTGAAATATTCATTTCGTCATCTCATAGAGGGTGTTTACGTTTAGTCATTTTGCAATTTCCATCGTCCGTAAGAAAAAAATTGTGCACGGTCTTGAATAACTTGAATAATTCAGCCTCAAAATAGATACAAAAGACTATGTACAAAAGAAGACCAAATGCAAAATGCTTCCAAACCATTCCCACTATTAATCATGATTTAATCTGTTAGGTAAGCAGCCATGGTCTGATATCATTCGAAAAACCATTTACAAGCTACAAACCAAAAAGGTTTCCCCTTGTTGGTGTCATTACTACTATAATAGCTCCATTCTGGGCAGATGTTGCAGAAAGAAATGCTATAGGTGGTATTTTTTATCGACAAAACAATAAACAATATCTACTAGAAGTGGCATCAATTGACGTAAGAAAGGCCTTTCCAGATTTCTCGCGATTCTTGGCAATATGGATGTTTGTCGCTACTTGGAAGAACGTATCTTTTCATGGAAGTAACAATAAGGTAGGACTTACCCACACAAACTACTCAATTTCGACAGCTGCCTGACCAACCGCAAATCTTTTCTTAATTCGTGCAATTAATAAATACCGCGCGTGCGTCCGGGAAGTCAAAGCTAGCCGGGAGCGACGAACGGGACCTGCGTCTGAACAAACTCTGCAGTGACGACTTTAAGGACTTTCACTTCTAAAACGCTAACTACTGGTGAATAATGTAGAATACATGCATATATATGAATAAACATATTAATGGTCTATCACTCATACTGCGCTGTGAATGGGTACTCTACTAATGGTCTAATTTGTGATAGACCACTCGCGGGAAAATCAATCTCATTAATAAATTATTTTAAGGATATCTGAACCTAGGTGAAATAAAAACCTGTGTCATCATTCTTTGCGATATCGGACTTTGGTACAAAAAATGACTTGAATCAAGGCAAAAATAGGTCTCAAGTAAATGATATTTCTCGCTGACAACTGGGACTTAAAGACGGCCGTAAACTTATTTGACCTAACAGACTTATTTAACCTGTTTTTTTTAAGCTAGATCAAAGCAGCACAGGAAATCTAGCTTATTTATAATCCTGTCTTTACCAGCGATTACCCGGAAAAACCATTCTGAGAGAGTCTGGAGAGAGAGCTTAGAACATAAACCGGAAGCAAAATCTCTTGATTTGATGATCATATTATCATCTTTGAAATGATTTATGACTACAGAACATCACCAACACCTTCCAGGCGGTATTGCTAACCGATGGTCGCTACTCCTTCGTTCGTTTTAACTACCACAAGATTACATGGACAACAGGGACATCAAGTGGAGGGGACTCAAACAACGGCCTTGGAGGAAATGAAGCAGGGGTATATATCAAAGCCGTGATCTAGTTTAATTAATTTCATTTTAAAATAGCCATGATTGATAGACTCGAGGGATCGTCTTTAAATAAAATTAATTTAAAACTTCATAGAGTACAATATCAAATATATTTTTCCTTTTTTTCTCCTTTTATTTCTTTGTCTACTGACTTGTTTATAAAATATTTGATATATAACGCGCGCTCTGATTGGCTGACAACCGTGTTTATATCAGAGGACAGAGACACGGCTTACCGGCAAAATTGTCTTTTTGCTCGAAAAATTTTATGAAAGAAATATAAAACGGACGCTTGTGTCTCTGTCCTCTTAAATAAACACGGTGGGAGTTGAAAAACACTCGAGAAGCAAGAGAAACACTCACTACGCTCCTGTTCCTAAGCTTTCTTCTCTCGTGTTTTTCGAACTCCCACCGTGTTTATATCAGAGGACAGAGACACGCGCGCCGTTTTATATTTCTTAAATAAAAATGAAGTTAAAAATATCTGATCTGTTTTTCGCATCTGTCGAAAATATGAAAAAAGCAAAGTATAGGTTTAGACTTGTACCCAATGATATACTTGAAATATATGGTAGAGGGATCAAAATCATTGCAATTTCATATACACATCATTTATAATAAATAATAATACCAGAGAATATTTGATATTTAGTAATACGGAATATTAATAAAAAACAACAACAACAACAACAACAACAACAACAACAACAGGCTAAACGTTTTCTGTTGTCACTTTTTATTGAATTATTCCTGATTATTGATAAATTTCAAATATTCCATGCATTTCTTTTATCCAAGGTTTTTTTTTAAATGTTGTGGTCTTTTTGATTAATCTCAAATTTCTGTTTATTAGTGTGGGTTCAACGCTGGATTTGATAATTATTACTACAACGCCACTTTTAATGGTTATCGAAACATTGTTGTACTGGATCTCCCTTTCAAAACAAACGTCAATAAATCAGGAGTGTGGATGTTCAGGACAGACAACATCACAATACAAGAGGCAAAATCGCCTATCACGGACGTGAAAGGTGAGTCATCTGAATTTCAATTCAAACATCATGATAAAAATATATCAAGCCTCCAATGGCAAAACAACTCTCGAAGATTGATTGTGTCGATACTTCGGTTCTGGATGAGCACGGGCGAGCGCCGGAGAGTAAATCCCAGTCTAGCCACGACTATGTAAAATTTGAGATCGTTGAGTAAATGCTGCCATACTGAAAAGTGTTACAGCTTTTCAATTGAAACTAAAAATACAAATTTTATAATAGAAAAACTGTTAGCCTCATTCGCTTTATTCCCACTCTTACAGATCTCCTGACATTTGAGGTTCGCTTTGAAAATGGTGGTGCCACGCCCCATTCTGGTCGAGTTGGTATTCGCTATGGTAATTCTTGGATTCCCATCTGCTATAAAGGACTGGACTACCCTGATGTGAAAGTGATATGTCGAATGCTTGGATATGTGGATGTCAATCATGTTTATGCTGTCAGGACACCAAGCTCTGCTAATGGTAGTTTCTGGCTTAGTGGTGTTGAGTGTAACGGAAATGAGCCATCAATACAGAATTGCAGTCGAACAGGATGGTGGCAGACCTCGTGTGACCACGATGCTGTAGTCACATGCAAAGCGGGTACAATTCAGTCTTATTTATTTTTGAAAGCACTGCGATTAGTTGGGTTTTTTTGGCTTCGCACAGACTAACCAGTGCGAGTAGCTAGTGCATAGTGCGAACTATTCTATGAATCATTGGTAATAACCATAGAAAATTACGAGTACTAATAAGGATCCCTTCATCAAACAATTTTTTTATTTCTTTTTTTATTTTTTTGTTTTTGTTTTCAGGGAAAACAGCTGTCGACATTCGTTTAGAAAACGATACCACGCCGCATTCTGGACGAGTTGGTATTCGCTATGATAACATATGGGGCACTCTATGCAGCAAAGGACTGGGTAGGAACGATGCTAAAGTGATCTGCCGTATGCTTGGTTATGTTGGAGTAAGTCACGTGTTCACAATTCCTGGAAATGGTACCATCTGGCTTAGTGACCTTGAATGCCACGGTGACGAAGATTCAATTGTCAACTGTAGTCATTCAGGTTGGTGGCAGACAAGCAACTGTACTCATCATCAGGACGCTGCCGTCACGTGCAAAATAGGTAAAGTATTTTAAATTCGTAATTCTAAAAACTAATACTGCAAAGCTACGAATTTCATGGTTGATTGCCAGATATCTTAAGTGTGCATTAATTTAATATAGTCACGGATAACTTTATTTGATTTGGACTTGCTGTTTCTTTAAAAGCTGAGGCTCCTCATTTCCAAATCGACGCAAACAACGGCATCACAGATTCTGCAGTTATTGTGAACCTAACCAAACCGACAGGGTCATTTGATGCACGTCTGAAAAGGTGAATTTCACTATTTTATTAAGCCCTTCTTATCATCCGTACTTAACTTTCCTTACTCATCTTGATGCTCAATTTCTCCATTTGTCAGCTCGTATCAATTTATGGTGGAAAGAGGTCGTGAAATACCATCATCCCCTATCACTTCTTACAACGATACATCCATGAAGACGTGCTCTGTCACCACCAAAACAGTGTTTGGTGATTCTTACATCACTGCAGAGGTTCCAGCAAATCCAAATAATGCTAGTAGTTTCACCATTGGCGATGGCTTCTATTACCATGKTTACCATAATGTACCATTAGAACCCGGATGTTCGTATAGGGTACAAGTGAGGATTGTTACCATGGCAATTGACGGGGTAATATTAGCAATAAGGGCTTATTACAGAGAGGATTTGAGAAATGAAAAGTTATCTGAGTATATATTTAGGAAATATAAAACGGCGCGCGTGTCTCTGTCCTCTGATATAAACACGGTGGGAGTTCGAAAAACATGAGAGAAGGAAGCTTAGGAACACGAGCGTAGCAAGTGTTTCTCTTGCTTCTAGAGTGTTTTTCAACTCCCACCGTGTTTATATCAGAGGACAGAGACACAAGCGGCCGTTTTATATTTCTTTTATAAAATCTTTCGAGCGAAAAGCTAATTTTGCCGGTAAGCCGTGTCTCTGTCCTCTGATATAAACACGGTCGTCAGCTAATCAAAGCGCGCGTTATATATCAAAAATTTTATAAACATATATATAGATTGATATAGATTGTAATATCAGTGTGCGGTTGATAACATTTGAAGCCGAACACCAAGTGCCCAAACATTTCCTTTTGCGAATATTAYAAGTGAAAACTTGAAATWGTTACACTTCCAGGATTTCTCGGAAAACCACATTYTTTTTCTTTAATAAGGTGAATTACGAGCATTCCGAGCCACTTCTTTCCATAGATTGTTCTATGTGACCCCAGGTTCTATGTGACTCAACAGCCTTCTAGAAGATTGTTTTTCTTCCATCCCAATGACAGGAAA